TCAGTGCATGCAAATGATCCGCTCCCGTGTTCAAGGCTATGTAGTCTTGTCCATTGCTTCCTATCTTTGAAGACACTCACTTGACCCTCTCTCCTGTAACCGATCAGCGGACGGGGATTACATCATCTTTCTTGTGCAGGCCAAGAGACTGAACCCATGATGATGGAGACATCCTTTGAGGCCAAAGCTAAATCATTCCAAGAAACCTCCTGCTACAAGCAGCTCCTTCATGAACCACCCGCCTTGACAATGCCAGCTAAGGCGTAGATCAAGCCAGAAGCAACTTGAATGGCAATGTAGATAGCAATGTTGAGGAGAAAAGCCTGAGATGTCCAAACCTGCAAACTCCTGTAGATTCTCTGTTCATCGGAATTGTAGACATCAAACATGAACATAAACGGCAAATTCGCAGGGTCAAGGTCATGTGTACACAGAGGCTAAATCCAAAACCACGCCCGGGGCATCAAGAACGCCCAAGTGGGAGAGGGGAGCCGGAGAGAGCGAGCGGCCAATCCGACGCTTGACGCAAAGCTACCAAGGAAATCAGAAATGACCAGAATAAACAACGATCAATGGTATCAATTGCCATGCTCTGGTGTAAAAGCTGTTTTCAGATTGGAGTAAGAAAGTGTGGACTTCCTTGATTGGCAATCAAGGTTTCACGTTGACTGGGGGTGACTTAAGGCTTCAGACCGTGACAGGATGAACTAGGACCTACAATTAGATGACATAGTAGACATTGTTACAGCATGTTACAGGAGCAATGACGCGTTCTGTGGGAGGGCAGCGCCCATTTGTTGATTGGTTCACCCGTTGAGCTGCACGACAGCAGTTCGGGATGTTTGACCAAGTCTGAGACTAGCTGCAATGACAGCATTGGCCAGAAGCGCTATCTCTCCTATATTGTGGATCACCTCAGCCATTCTGCTGGCACAAGCGTTTTGCTTGATGTTCACACAACTCGGTCAGTGGAAAGGGGCACTAGCATCCATTGCTGCTACAACAAACAATAAATGAATCTATACCTACACAAGCCAGCCAGCCGAGCTGCATCCAGCGAAACCGCATCTGCATCCGTTGCAAGACCAATGCACCTACGCTCTCAACGGCTAAGCTAAGACCCGAGCCGGGCTTCAAACCTAAACATGCTGGGGCATGCTGGCAAGGAGCAGTAGGATGGCCGAAGCAACTGGTGCAAATACCATGACCGAGCTAAGCGGGTTGAGCTTGTAGCCCGACCTAAATGTGCCAGGTCTACAAAACAAAGGAACCAACATTCTACCCAAGAACACTAGTAGTCACTATATAGAAGTTTCCACATGTTCCACACCTGTCAACATTCCAGAAAGTGCTAATGCCAAGTATCGATTTCAAAAGCATTTCGAGCCTGAGAGGCGGCATACTTGATCATGATATGAAGCTTGACTCCTGTGTTAAAGCTCTCGGCCGACTCAGGTGCAAGCAAATTTATTCGAAGACCCTCGGACAGCAGCGCCGTGCACTGCATTATGAAGCCATACCTCGCAAAGAAAGCAACGCCAATTCACTCTGATCTGAAAAGACCTGTGGACATCATTGAGACCTCGCAGGATTGTGGACATCTTTCGGTATTCTTCTTTCGGAACCTGCTTCATGATGTGTTGCCCCTCGATACACTTGGTACCAACCTCCTGTCAAAACAAGGAGCAGCTCAAATTTCAGCTCGCCGACGCTGGTGATCATCAGACCTAAAGAGATGTTGTTATCGCTGCCGAGAGAGAGTTGAAGGAGAGTTGCCTCGGATCCTCTTGGCTTCAGACCAGTTGTGATGGTCGCCAAGGTCTTTGCAGTGGCAGAAGACCACTTCTGCGTGCCGACCTTTCTGGATTTTCTTTCGCTTCGCAAGACGATTAAAAGCCCAATCTGAGAGTCGGACAAGGCAGCCAACTCCATATACACACCTGAGATCCGGTAGTACTGTGGAAGAGTAGGAAGACTTGGCAAATTAAACTAGAGATTCGTAGAAGCAACAGGATTTGTGTCAAATCTCCCCGGTGCGTTTCATTTTGTCAAGAGTTATTTGACGTTTCTTTTGTTTGTGCTCATGCCACAAGCTAGTATAATTCCTACTCCCTACTAGTGATTGCATAAGCCTCGTTTCCAATAGCCAAGCCACGCAGGAGTCCAAGCTTTTATCATTTGACAAAAGCTGACAGAGATGTACATCACTGCCTGGACCGTCTTTTGACATCTCTGTCTGAAACACTCAAGGCTGGCATGTCCATGGATACTTTGAACTAAAAAAACAAGCGATATTCCCAGCGAAAGGACAATGAAAATTGGCCAAGTGGCGGTATTCCCAGCGATGAGGCCCACACACTGCGCCGCAGCAACTGGGATGCCAATGCGCAAGGCCCCCCTTTAAGGTCAGGGCCGGCCGGCCATCCTGTGCATAGCTACATGTGTTTGCATCCGAGAAAAAGCAAAAAAGTCTGATGATCAACTACAAAAATTGAGGGACCCCAAATAGTGTCGGATCAAGTTGTATCTGTCGCAAGGGATAGGTCCTATAGTAGCCTTCCCGGCCTGGCCTTGTCATCACCAGTGCTGACCAATGAAGGCTTCACCAATCGAAGCATAAAAACCAAGCAGGTGCTCACCTGAGTTGAAAAGCAAAAGGCTTGAACAAATACATGCTTAAAATTAACGTGTCCCATTACTGTGCTTCAGCCATATTTTGAGCAAGAATCTGATTGGTGCCAGAAGGTGAGCCAAACTGGATGCCTGAAGCCTTGCCTGAGCTCAAGCAGCGTCTGAGATCAGTTGTTTATATAGAAGCTGCTGCAAGCTGGTCTGTTGTCTCTTGGATGTTCAAGTTGTATTGTTGCTCCTTCACATCTCCAAATTAAATCCCAGGCGCAAAAGAGCTGCATTGAATATTATCATGCTGGCCTCAGACAGGTGCTTGAAGGGAAAGCAAGGCCAGAGTCCTCTTGATGTTATTTTTTCAATTTGCCGTGTGTTTCCGTAATGCTTTTCCTTTATATAAAGTGTGGGCATGAAGAGAAGAAAAGAGAGGACAAGAGTTGCTTGAACACGAGATGTTATACCTGGAAGGAACAAGCAGCTTGTCAAACTTGTGACTAGGGATGGTTCAGCGTAGAAAGTGGTTCATGTACTGGTCGGATAAGTGACTAACGTAGAATTGTAGAACTATGCGTGAAAGTATATATGCAGCGGTAGGGGTAGGTTGTGTGAAAGAGACCGGATGATGAGTGAGTGTTAGTGAAAAGTAGATAAGTAGAAAAGAGAGTTCAGATTCCAGATTGCGCCAAAAGCAATTGGTAAAAGAAATCACAGGCAGTTGGTCACTGCCCTCTTCAAGCCCTTGCCAAGGCAAAGGTCAGCCAACTAGATAAAGCCAGCTGCTTTCTTGAATTCTCAAATACATGATTTGGTGAGGAACAAGAAGCTACTAGTAACAAAGGGCATCGCTACTAGGAGCAAGTGCATCGCTACTAGGAACAAGAAGCCATGTCTTCCTTTTACGAGAATTCTCAATGGTAAGACCTCAGGTGCCAGCACTCATTGCAATCCAGAATGCCAGTGCTGCAAGCACCTGGACGCTTAGTATGGACGCCTTGGCTGTGTTCTCAGCATCCCTGGTTAATCCAGGATCCCAAAGTACAGCGCTGTTTGAACCAGAATGGAGGACAGTGAAGTGTTTTAGATTCCCAGTTCAGCCCAGTCAGTCAAGGCACCATTGCCAGAGCACATCCAGGTTGGCTCTTGGAAATCGGCCAAAAACTGAATCGTTCGCCTGGCAGCCACCTCTTGCAAGGAAAAGGTGAATGATATTACACCTACATAATACTTGTTACATGCCTCACGTGCAAAGCGAACGCTCTGTGTCTACACTTTGTGAATGCACTGCGTGCTTGCACTGTGCATTGGGTGGCACCATAGTGTTTTGATCTGTTACTTATTGGGTGCCACCATGGTAAGAGCTCAAATCTGGCAAGTTTCTAGGTGATTTGTTCAAAGACGGTTGTACGAGGAACACTCCAAGAGAAAGGTTGAGCCAACAAGCGGGCGACGCCTTAAATTCAGTCATCTTATGTCATCTGAAGCTGGTAATAAACATGTCGTGGAAGCGGCAAGGCTGGTACCTTGAGGGGGTGGGGGATCAATGAGTGAGCCTCTCAAGCGTGGAATAAGCAACTGCGGCATCATAAAACTAAGAACTCTTCCCATTGCCATGCGCTGCGTGCGCTGCTGCTCAGGATTGTGTTGTAAGATACCTTCAGGAAACCAGGCTGCGGTCCAGTGAGGAAAAGTCCAAGCCATGCAATGCAGTGGGAGCATTCGGTAGCGTTGTAGCTCAGTTGCTGTTCTGCTGGTCTCCATTTACCATCTTTCACCTAGTAATTATCTCAACACTGTACCTGCCAAGATGCCAAGTCTCCTTGAAGACCTGAAAGGGCGAGAACCGCTTGATGGCGACAAACTAACTTCGCAAACAGCACTGTTTCTGACGTTCAGGACTCAAAGTAATCTTTGTTGATATTCACACGGCGGATATACAATCCCCCGTCGCCGCCCGCTCTAGAAAGAAAGGCACCTCTGCGTTGGGCAGCTTCCAGTAGTGCTACACAAGTCTGCCATCGACCGCTGCCTTCCTGAGTTAGCAACGTGCTCGTAGCCAGTAGCATTGCTCATCTACAAGCGTCGTAACTTCAGCAAACAGAATCACATGATGAGAAACATATTTTTGCAGTTCTCCAACCGTCAGAGATGTACATTGCCATCTCAGGTTGTTGAGGCAAAACAGGCGGTAGCACGATCCCGCTAAACTGCCGAGTGTGCAGCAGCCCAGCTTGTGCACAAACACTCACATACTCAAATCTTTGCAAAGAACAAGCTAAACAATCATATGGAAAAATCGCAAAACAAAAGGCTGGCTGCAATCGGGCTGCAATCGGAAGTACTGCAACCTAAACTGCTCAACTGGACCACTAAGTTCACGGCAAACTGAAAGCTGCAACGACCATCAAGATCATAAGGCCCCAAAGGCAGCACATGCTCAACATAAAGGTGATGCCCCGCAACAGTCCAAGTTGAAGCTCGTAGATGATGGTGTGGATCACTCGGAAAGTTGCCCACATGGCCGTGAATACCAGGTGCGCAATGCAGAATGCCTGTGGATCTTGAACGGAAGTAGAGGATACGAAGATGGTAAAAACACAAGCCCAAATCACCACCAAACCCATCGGAAGGTTCTCCATGTCATTCTGGACAATGCGGCCAGCATGATTCGCCCGATCCACATCATCCTGTGTTGCATTTTCATTGTTGTTGACGTCTTCCCTGGCACGAAGATTTGCTTTTCCTTTGAGCAATCCCCACCGCAAATTGCTGATGAAAAACTTCAAGTATACCAGTAATGTGACAAGGCTGCTGGTCTTGACGACCTCTCCAAGGCCAACCACCATGGTTAAGTCCGAATGCACCACGTTCCTATCACTGAGCTCTCACGGCTATCTTCCAATATACTCGCTGAGCTTCCTCTCCGCACCACTTTAGGGCATTCACAACTTAACATGAGCTTCACAAAACCAAAATACCGTCAGCTCATATACAGTACTTCTTCAACAAGAAGTATGTAGCGTGAGTTCCTCCCCGATATTGGAAAAAAAAAACGGTGAGGACTCGAGCACATGGACAACACGTTCAAAAATGCATCCGTGACAAGTTGCATAGCATGAACTTGAATGAATGTGGTGTATGTATGGGCTTCAAAGAATGGGCCAACGTAAAAAATCGTCTGCCGCCCAGTATCACAAGCAGCCATTACCGTGTTGAAGCTCACAAGGTCGCTTCCTGGACCTGAATGACCGCCACTGTTCATGTCGATGAAGTGAAAGCCCCTTTAGATTTGAGGTCTTTTGTGGGTCCAGCCCGCATCACATCGTTTGTGCCTTGACCATCTAGGATCCAAAGCCTCAGAGTTTGCGCAAAAGAGCTGGAAAAAATGTCTTCAGTCGCAAATTAGGGTCTCAGAAAGAAGCACATGTGCTACCAGGTCACAGGCACAAGGCCTCTTGCCACTGTTCACTCCTCTCAAACACTTGCCGCGTTGTGCATGGTTTGCAAAGCAACTTGCTTCGTGAGCCTCGCGCAGGCATTGAGGGCTGTGTTGAAGGTGATGGTGTTGGGCTCAATGCCCCACCTGAAAAGACCAAATGCTCTAAGCGAGCTGCAACACGTGCGACTTCAACTTGGCTGAACAACTGGATCCGAGATGACCTGCATGTGGAAGCTGCCTCCCAGTCGTCAGCTCTTCCAAAAGCTGCAAGGTCCTTTGCCAGTCAGCAGCTGCCGCACAACCACCTCAAGCTGATGAAGGTTACAATTTGCATAATCCAATTATTTGGATAAAGGTGCTTTAGTATTCACGCCAGAGAAATGGATCCACTTTGGTTACACAAAAGATGGCGTACTCACTGTTTCATGCATTTCAAAATTTATTGACACTATATGGATCAAGGATAGGATATATATATATATAATATATATAATATATATAATATATATATATATAATATCTATAATGTATAATATGTATGTATAATATCATACTCTAATGTATATATATATATACAATTTATACAATATATATATATATATAGTGTCACAAGGCCAGCTAACTCAAGCTTGACTCAGGCGTAGACTCAAAGCGCTGTTAACTGTGATGCAGTCTGCTATTGGGATGGCCCTGCAAAGGGAATCTTTGCTCTTTTGCATTGTTTGGCCTACTTCTCAACATGTTGTTGTTGTTATGCTTGCTGAGTTATTGAAACCACCCAAGCCAAAGCGGTAAAATTCAATGCAATCTGACAACAAGTTGAGTCTGAGGAAAACTTGCCTGCCCTGCAACATGCTTTCGAGGAGGGACAGGCCAACCTGAACAGAACAAGTTGATACAAACTAGCGACTTGCTTGGCAAGCCTTGCCCCTCAAGTAAGTTGAATGCATCCCACTGACGAGTCTGGAATTAGACCATATGCGACCAATACACAGGCTTGATAAACGCTCGCCACTGCCGTTGCTAGATCTGCTGCCTGCCATGCCTGACTTCGTGCACATGCTCGGACCTTGCGATCACAAGAGGAAGCATGCTCTGCTCTACACGCCTTTGCTCTAGCTAGGCTGATCTCATCTTCAGTCTCTAAGTCAAGACATGCATGAGTGTGTCCAGGCTCCACAGATCCTGTGACAGCTACGTCCGCCCGATCTGGGCATTCCGCTCCGGCGTTGCAAAGCACGACATCCAGCTGGCTTATCTTGTGGGCCTGGAGCTTGAATTTGATTGCTCAGTAACGAGAATTGTCAAGAGAGTCGGTTTCTCTCTTTGATCCTTGCGTCATTTCCCGGATTTGCAATGTCAGCCCTTGTCATTGATCTGCGAGTTGAGCCAACAACGCTTCAGGCTTCAGTGGAGGCTGCACAGTATGAGCCTTCCGAGCCTTGCCTCCTCCAACACCAGAAGCACAGACTGCCATGCACCATGCCATCCCAGCTTGGCCACCTGCAAGGGTTGCAAGAAGTATCGAATGTATATAGAGAATCTAGGCCCAAAGCCCAAAGCAGAAAACAAATATTAAAATTACACACACACACACATTAGCCCAAAGAAATATGTGTCTACCTTCATTTTTTCAATCTGTCAAGCTTTCTGAGTAGAATGTTACAAAAAGGCGAGCGCTTCCCTTAAAGAAAACAAAAGAATGTGGCAAGATACCTGCAGCTAGAAGTGCATGCTTGCTTGCTGAAGTCTTTTGGGGGCTACATGGTTGGATACTGTGATCCGGACACCTTAGCGGTGAGCGCTTTTGCCGTGCTGCCGCCTAACAGTTTAACAGAAGCAGAGACTGCACGCTGAATCGCATTGACGAGCCCAATGGTACAAGCTGTAATTGTCTCACCATGCTCTATCGGTGAAAGGTACTACAGTATCACAATCCTCTCTTTTTCCACTGCTATAGCTGGTCACCATGCACACTTGGCGGCTTGGCAAAGGCAGAGCTGGGGGGATGTCACTTCAATTTGCTGAAAGGCTCAAAGACCTCAATATACAGACTCAAAGACTCAAAGACGTGGCAAAGAACATCAGGCCCATGGCAACTTGCTGTGGAAAGCTTGTGCAACCTTGGAACTGTCCATATTCAGATCGAGCTTTAGCTCCCGATGAAGATCTAGGACCTACAGTAGAAGGACTCTCAGCTTTGTGGATTCTCAGCTCCAGCAAAAGAAAACGACCCGAAGCTTCATGCTAGTGGAAGGCCCACGTAGAATCACACACACGTACATAACTTTGCCGGATTGGCGTTGAATGACCACCAAATATTGCTTCCCAAAAGCTCACTGATTAAAACCCCGGGCCTTTGAAAAATCAAGAGGATGAGGATATGTCTTGGTGTCACCCCTCTAATATGAGTATGTAATCCCACCTTGCAAATATCAGGTCTTTTTGATTGAATCTGCACGTACAAAGACCGGCCCAACTGCCGTCCGGCCTGCTGCCAGACTTTCTCAAAGTTGTGTTCACACACCATCTGGATGCCAGTCCTCTTTGATGCCATCCGCACCTCCTTTTCAAACCGCTTCAATGCTGATGCGTATAGCCTCAAGGTTTTCTCACAGAGAATTCAGAATGTGCCCTCCACAAGTTTTGCGCATCAAGTTGATGCCAAGCTGCCGCACATCTTGTCGAACTAGTTTGTGCATTCTGCTCACCAATTCCTTTGGTAGGTCCAAAACTGTATGGGCCGGCACAAAATGGCTTTCATGACCTCAGGTTGCGCGCGCGCTGAGCCACGATTGGGAACAAATGCACAAATCCTTCCTGTCGCTGCAATTTTTAAGCAAAGCAACTAGTCTCATTCAGGGGTCCTTCAGCAGTGACCAGGGGCTCAACCAAAAAGCGAACAAAGCGAAGAGCTCTGCACAGTCTGCTGATCCCACACAAAAAATTACGGCGGATCAGAGCGCAAAATCAATAGCGCACGATTGTTCGACGAGGCTGCGTGAGAACCGCTAGAAGTTTGTTCTTGTTTTGGCCCTGCAACTGGACCAGCTGTGTTGTCGTCTTTGCGAAAGCGAGGAACTTCTAACAAGACTTTGGTGGTTCGAATCCACCCTGGTCTGGTTCGCGTTACTCTTTCCTTTCCTTTCTTTCACTCCTTCATTTCACTTCTACTGCCGTGCTGTTTCTTTCCGTCTTTCTTTTGGTCGTTCTTTCGTTGGTTCGTTCGTTCGTTTGTTCCTTCGTTCTTTCGTTCTTTCATTCGTTCTTCCATTCGTTCATTCGTTCTTTCTTTCTTTGCTGGTGCATTGGAAAATCAGTAGATTTAGTCTGGCCTCTCTATATGCTCTATATAAGAAGTTTCGAAACAAACATAACATTTGTAGAGTCCATTCCAATATCAGCGTGAGCGAATTACCGGGCCTTACAATTCAAGAGCATCGAACGTTGGCATGTCGTGAAACGAGGTGTACCAACTACAGCAAACTGAGCACAAGGAGTCTATGTGTTCTTAGCATGACAGAGCATTGTCTGTTGGTGCAAGGAAAGCCCTCACTTCCATCCTCTCCTGGTCCACCACAAGCACAGGACTCTGTCACTGTCCCATGCCTAGCAAAAACGAAGTCACTCTTTCATTCTTTACACGCTAAGGAGTGCTCAAAGGACTGCAAACATGTTTCGCATGAATACTAATGGAGCTTTTCTGAAGTGTTGTTCAGTGTACTCTTTGGTCCACTAATCCAAATTGATTTGTGGAAAATGATCATGTCAATGTCCTCTAGGATCCTTGACCGTTGTTAACAGCCTCGGGGTTCATTTACGCAGCTAGGTGCGAAAGCAGGTATGCACCACTGCTTTTTGTTTAACCGTCAGTTGGAGGCTGCTGGTTCAATGGTGTGCGGAAATACGGCATTCTCTGTCATAGTCATTTGTATTCCCAGCTGAATCTTTGCACGGGTGTCTTCCCGGCAGCACGTTCTAACTAGAATTCTAAGCCAACGGGATATAGCAGGGGCATGTGAAGGAGAAGGGAGATAATGAGCTAGAGGCGTCCATACGCCAAAAAGTGGTGAGGGGAGAGCGGGTGCAGGCGAATTGGAAGCCAGCCATTGCAATACAAAAGTAGATGCCAAACCTTGTTCTGCCCACGTGCACACATCCACCTCCAAAGTTGGAGCATGCAAAGGGTCTCGATGTACAGTTCTTGGATGCCGATAAATTGCACGCCTCACCACAGAAAAGAATTGATATTGGCCATTGTTTTCCCCCACCCCGCGCGCCAAGCCGTCTCTCCTGTTCATGCCCACCCTGAACTGGTTAGTGACAAAAAAGTAATTGGCAAACGCATGTCCGGGCACGTTCCAAATTCTTCTTCGCTGCGCTGAGATCGGGCTCCAGCAGTGCAAAGGGGGGCCGCATGGCCCCAAGTAGTTGACAAATATCCTCAGCGTGGAGCTGGCAAACAAGATTGGCCATTTCTGCGTGCCCCACCTGTACGTATTGTCAAATCCTTCAAACTGTTGGTGCACTATGCGTTGTTTGGAAAGGCTTACTTGAAATGTCCACCCAGCGGCTCATCTGCATGTTCCACGGATTGTAACAGTGGTAGTTCACTGCTTGTGCCCAGTCCTCCCAGCCAGCTCCAGTTCATGACTTTCGACTAGTGGGCTGGATTGGTTTGTGTGATCTTGATTTTCTGTATACATGCACTGTCTGAAGCACAGAATGTCCCACGGTTCACACAGAAAATGACTCCTCACTGTCCGGCAGTGCTCCGTCAATCGGGGAATTCTTGATGTCCAAGAAATGCGATATCCATTCCTCAAAGCCACCATACACGCCTGGGCAAACTCAAACAGCTAGTTGAGGCAAAGCAAAGGGAAAGAGTTCCAAACTTCCGCATGCCGTGAAGTTGGTGCCTGAGAAGCGGGGAAAGGCAGTGCCCAAGGTGGTCATGCCACCCCAGTAGTCGTACTTGCACTCCATAAACTGCGACCTGGGAATTGTACGAAGCGATACGGAGTCTACGCATGGCGTCCATGTGTAGTCCACGACATTACAGTAATGAAGATACAGTGATTGTGCAAGAACCTGTATCCAAAATGACCCAAAATGACCAAGAAAAGGAAGCTTGGGCTAAGGTCCTCCTGTAAAGGCAGCTTGACACTGAGATATGTGCAAAACATGTGCCAAAGGATGTCGAAGCATTACCATGCCGATCTGATGACTTTCGCCAAGTTGTGTACCTTGAGGCTTGCAGCGCGCAATTATTGTTGATAAATTAGGATCCAACTGCATCCAGCTTGACAAAACATGCCTGTAGATGCACACAATGCCAGGCTACGCTGAAATGGCTGTTCCTCATGTGTGCCAAGTTGTCCACCAATTAAATAAAAACACACAACATTTCAAGTGCAAACACAAGACAAACGCACCCCCTAGTAAAGTCTATAACAAATGACAAGGCTCTCCATTATCCACAAGTGGTGATGGATCCACCACTAGAGCAGCGTCTTCTCTGAAAGAGGTTCCAGCAGTCTTGGGTATATGAATAAACCTGAGTGAGAACTCGAAGGTGATGCAGAACTTCATAACTCAGCAGCTTAGAGGGCAACTGTTGAAATTATACCAACAAACCGCCCAAGAGTGCCCTGGTATTACTGCAACAAGCTTCAAAGTATTGTGTTGACCTGGGACAATGACTCTGACAACACCAGGAACATCAAACTCGAATGCTGGGTATATGCAGCTGGGTATACGCCCCCCCAGAAAAGAAGGAAAAGCCTCCAAAACTCGGTTTTTGGGACACGGAATTCGCTGTGTGACTGACAATGTGACATAGAGGCGACCAAACGACTGGCATGCGTCCAAAGCCACACAAACTGATTCGCGTGTTGGATCTCTCGTGCCAAGAGCCTTGAGCTGTTGTTGCTGGGCTGATGCAGAGCTGCAAGGCCCTTCTGCAGGTCAGTATAGAGTGCTTGGAAAGGTCGTGCCTTGGTGAGGAATGTGCCTTCAAACACTGAACACTCTGCATGAATGAACACTATATAGATAGCACAACACAGAATGAACACCGACATGCGTTGGGTCCTGTGAAGATCGTGTGGAAGCTGCCTGCCAACCACGTGAGAAAGCAAACAAACAAGTGCATATCGAGAAAAAACGGTGAGGAAGTCTCGAGTAAAGTCCAGCTGGCAAGGAAGCTGGCTGCAAGAGTTGCAAAGTAAAACAGCTGCGAAGCTCCAAATTTAGGTGATTCAAAAGACCTACACGTTCGATGAAAGATTTGTGTGCCACTGAGAGGTTCAATGACGCTACGGATGTGACTTTTTTCAACATCGTCCAATCTTCCACAATCTGATTCCTGGGAATCCCAGGAAAGTATGCCAAGAAATACCCATACTTGAGGGGTGTTGACAATGCAACTGCAAAAAGGATCAAAAAGTTGGTCATATCTCCAGGCCTGCAGGAAAGAAGAGCACTCATCTGTCTCTGCACCATCAAGTCCCTCAATTTGCAGCTCATCAAGCTGATACTACTCGGTTGCTAACCAAGGCCAACTATCCTGTAGAGATGCTGCTAGGTCACTGCTTGTGCAAGAACACTCTTCCTGCAAAGTAAAGAGTTTTCTGCTGGCCAAAGGCAAGTGAACGAAGAACAAGTTTGTGATCACAAAAACAGCACTTCTGCTTAACATGCATCTACCACATGAGACAGCCGGCCTATCACCAAATCCAAGCCGCACAAGTTGCAGGTGAATTATCAATTTCAGAGCTGCCACCATGAATCATCGTGCGCTGGGCGACTCGAAGCTTCAGCGGCTTGCGCTCTCCAAGCTGATACAGAGTTTTTTAAGTGGTTACTGGTTGGACCGTTTGGTATGCTGGGTCTGCTTGGGTCTGCCTTCGTCGAAATTCAAAAAGCTCGCTGCACATCAGTTTGAGGCTAATTGTCCCACTTATGCTTCATTCCACAGTGCTGTTCAGTCTCGTATAGAGTATGATCTGAGCCCAACAGGTTTCCGGCACACTGCAACATCCATAAGTGTGAAAATTGAGAATGTGTGTCTATCCCTTGCACAGCGCCCCTTGCACAAGCCCCTACAATTTGTAATAGCTTATCTTTCTGAAGTACAAAGAGAGGGCCTCCTTCCTTGGTAGCAAACATCTGAAGGCCTCCGCCTCCTGGCGGCTCTGAAAGTCAAACATCGAACATCGCTACTAGGAACAAGGACGCTACTAGGGGCTCCTGGCACCGCTACCAGGAACAATAAAGCTATTATATAGAAACAATAATTAGAAACATAATCTAATAGCGACAGTCTTTTCCCTCCATCACCCCGACATCGCTTTCCTCACCTTTCTATTTACCTGCACTGACATTGCAATTTGGCTCAGCGCATCTTGGGTCGGAAAGCTGTTCTCATGTCTTGCTAGACGAGCCAAGGCCATGCCCTTAAGGCATGGTGTCATTTTGCTGCCAATCTATATTGCTCCAAAATATCTATATACATACTTCACATTCATATCGAAAGTCCTATCATGATGACGCCAGGTTATCGCTGTTTACTTCTAATACCTATCCAGTCTTGTGGGATGTGCAACCATCTTGGGCCAAAAACTCGCCCAAGCGTCTCTCAAGCACTTCCAATCAAAGAAACATGACACCATTTTCCACCCCGGCAGCAGTCAGCTCTGCCATCAAGGCGGCAATGGCAAAGCGCCGAACCTTGGATCAAAGGCCTTTTGGGCCTTTCCCTTCGCAGCTCGTTTTCTGAGCTACAGGCAGTGAGAGCAAAGCTAAAGGTCTCCGAAGCATCAAAGGTCTCCGACGTATCTAATGTCTCCTCCAATGGCTCCTCGTCATCTTCTATAGGTTGAGGATGAAATGACGCTGGACCTCAGCTGCATGCATCACCCAGCGACAGCAGTTTATATGGTCCAACACAAGAGATTTCAATCTCTAAAGCCCCAGCAGGCACAAGCCAGCTCCTTGATGTTTGGAAGGCTCATCCTTGGACAATTGTCTCGTCCTACGAACTGAAACAAACCTGGCACGGTCGATTCATATCACATGCTGGACAGTTCTTGAAGCCCCTTCAAGACTGCATCAACCTGGCGACACTTGCAAAATGCTTCCAAGCGTCAGCTCTGTGATGTGTCTGGCAAAATAATCATGCTCGAACACTGTTTGCTCCTTGGTCCGGGTGAAAGAGCACTCCAAGAACACATCAAAAACCTATGCGAAGCTTTGGAAACTTTGGAGCAACATTGGCAGCTTCTTTATACACATAGAGAAACTCCGTGGCAACAAGGAACCAAGGAACCAATCTGCATTGAAACAAAAGAATTGCACACAAACACAGCACTGAAACTTTGACCGAGGTACGCCGTAGAGCTCAGATTCCAAAGTCTGCAAACCCCGCCGGTAGGGGGGCAACGGATCCACATCAGGCCTTGCCTGCAATAGCCTTTGGTAAGCCTGGCAATGAGATTGCAGCATTCAATGAGGATCAGTCGGATCACTCCTATTTTTAGTTGAGAAATTCGTGGATAGTTGCACATCACTCGCACACGTGCCTGTCGCAAATTGTGGCCGTTGTAGAGAAAGAACGACAAAGCCAGAGTCGGAGAGCGATTGTGGCCCTGTAAACCCGCGGCAGCAGTCTGAGTCAAAAATGCAGGGCATAATAATGGTGATGTTGTTTTGCTTTGTTCCATGTCCTTTCTTTCTAGTCAAAAACAACCTTCAACAGTGTGGTTATCCTGGCCTGGTCGCAATGAAGGAGCACAATTCTGTCTTCAGTGCCCATAGGCTGCACTGCAGATTGTAGAGCCTGCAAGTGGAAACGGATGCTATTCACCAGACCATAAGACTTTTCGCCAGGCACCTGTAAAGCTTCACTCAGCTCAACCTTCCTGAGCAAGGGGATTCTACATGAGTCCAGAGTTGCTGCGCAAAATCCTTGTTCGAAGGATTCAATGCAAGCAAGCGTCAAATCCAATTCTTCGTCTGGTCGTAACCAGTCAGACATTCGGAAGTACTGATGCTCTATATCTTCATGCCCATTCCTGTCTGCGGTTGCATGTTCACAAGGCTCACAAGGCTCCGTCTGCATCCAGGCCACTCGATAAGGAGGGCAGCAATCGCGCTGTAATTGCGGTAGGAGCCCACAGTGACGATGTGTGAGACTTTGCATCCCAACCTGACCATTGTTTTTAAGCCCGTGGGGGCCCCCGTCCTTGCTTAATTAAGTAGGCGCCTACTTAATGAAGTAAGGGAGAAATAAGCTACTAGGAAAAGTTCGCTCCTAGCTAGGATGCAGGATACTTCCCGCTTCTTCACAGAAGCTCACCCCGCCTGAGGGGAGTTTCTTTCAAGAAGCGCTCGCACTAATGATATGGTTCAAGCCTACTTTTGTCTTTCGCCATCCCTAAAGGCAGTCAATTTTACAGTTGGTGTCCTAGCAAGCCCTCAAAAGGTTTTGCAAACAGGAATTGAATAAAACCTTCTGAAGCACAATGAGCCCAGGCACAGCTCCCCAGTGGTGGCGGCAGAGGCTGCATTACGAGCACTTCCTACGGCCAGCACAGCACCGAAAGCCTCAGGCCGCCAAAGTTCCTTAGACGATGATGCGATGCAAACAACAAAGTTGTCTTTTGTTCTGTGTCTTTCTCTTCCTGATCGCTGCTTTTTTTTCAGGCAGGGGTAGGTTAGTTTCTGTCTCACTGTGACCTTTACAATTCATAAACAACAACAACAACAACACTGAATCTTCACGCCAAAGCATACCAACCAAACGATGACTGGTTGTCGCCGGAACACTTCCACGCTAGTGCATCCTCGTGTCAGAAGCCCCAATGGCACAAGGATTCAAGCCCAAGGGCATTGTTTCAAGCATACCCCATCGATCAAACAATATGTATTCATGTGTGGAAACTTTCAGAAGATGTGTTTGAAAAAAAGAATGCGCGTTTGTGTAGAATTAGGAGATTTGATATGTTACATTTGTTTTCACCCCATTGCAATGAAATTAGGCCTTTCAGCCGTAAAAACCAAGGAAAAGGTGTTCATCTTGGTTGCGTTGCTGCTGGATTTTGAAGTGGCTGATCTTCATTGTACACTTGCAAGCCAAACTGGCCTTGCGTCACACTCAAGCCTGTGCACATCGTGATCCTTACAAAACCCGAATCGGTTTGTTTTGCGCACGCCCAACAAGCGCATGTCTTGACAATTAGAATTTCTCGTGAAACTGCGCATGCAAACTGTACATTCGGGTCATTATGCAGCGAGTCAAAGTGATTGTCGACTTCGTCTGGCACAATCGAAAGAAGCTCTCTGCATCCACATTGCTGCTGCGATGGCAAAAGCTGGGATTAAAACAACCCAGACTGGCATATCAGGATTGACTACCTTAATCTGCAAACATTGTGGTCAACAATTGGCATCAAGTACTGAAGCTGATTGCAATGAAGCTATAAAAGCACAACCCTATTGCCGACCTAACATGCATGCAAGTCAACAACGAATTGGGTTTTTGATTGACATACAACGTACTGATATACGCTAACATTGCACGCCTGCAAATCCATGCGTAAATACTACATATATGTTGTCAGTCAACGCGCGCGCGTAGGCCGCCAGAAATTTACAGTTTGGTGTAAAACAACTCTGCCAAAATTTGTGACCCTGCGCGCTGAGGCTGGCCAAAGGAAACGAATCAACAAAACATACGCACATAAACACTCGGGAAAATTAACATGGAACCTGACAACCACTGGCCTGTAGAGGAAAATAGTCTTCCAGTGGTAAATTTTCAGGTTCTATGTTAATTTTCCCGGGTGTGTATATATATATATGTGTGTGTGTGCGCACATATACTGCAAATATGTCCGCACAGATACTGTACACTGCAAAATGTATCAAACACATGATTTTTCTGATTCTGTCGCCTTCGCACTCGACGCGTTCCTTTTCATCCGCTCGCTTCTTCTTGAGCTCATATGCGCTTTTGGGCGTCCCTTCAAAGAGAGAAGCTTCAGGGTTTGGTTGACAGAATGCTACCCCAGTAGAACAAACATCCTTTTTTGTAAGCTATGCGCATGTGGCAGCGGAGATCAGCTGCTTGTCTTGTTGACCTGAAGCCCGCTCCATCTCTCCGCCGTACGGTGGGGCGTGACTCGGATTCGGCTCGCGCAGTTCGAGCATGATGGGCGTATGTGGAAGGAGTCAAACCCTGCTGGCACAAAGCATCTCTGTTCCACAAAAACTTTTGTTGTTTGTTCTTAGCCTTGAAACCCCAGGCCTGAGCACCCTTGCGGATCCTCTGACTCTGACCTTCGTCAGTCAATCTGCCATCATCGTGGCCGTTCAAAGTCAGAAGGTCGTGGCAAAAATTATGTATTTCTGTGGCCGCTCTTTAGTCTTGACCACCACCGGTCTTTTTCGACAAGTGGTCACCCAGCTTTACAACCCAACAGCAGGTAGCAACTCAATTCACTAAAACTTCTCAATCACTCCAACTATACGCGCTGCTGCCACCCCGATCCATTTGCAAAATGCAAAGGGCGCAGCGGAGCAGGAATTGGGGTCCAGGAGCTGGGGCAAAATGTAGGCGTGCTGAGCGCTGCAAGGTGCGTACAAACACCGCACTATTGGTTCTACTACAGAAACAATGTATGAACTGCAACAGGAACACAAAGCACACCACAAGCGCAATAGCACGGAGAGCAACTGCCTTGCTGCGCGTAAAAAGTGGTTCGGGCGGCGTTGACTGAACATTCTGTAACGGACCCACAAGGCACACCGCAAGCGTATAAGTTGTTTGCCGGCGCAGAAACACCCCGCACGCCGGCGGCGTTGCAGCACCGAGACTCTATTATGGCGTGTATCAAGAAGGCTTCACAACAAGGGCAGGAGGCACACCACAAGCGCAAAAGCCGTGCAACTGCCTGCGGCCTTGCTGCGCATACAACATGCCTTGCGCGACGTAGAAAGATTGCTCCGTTGCAGGAACAAAAGCTGTTGCGGGCATTCCTGCGCAAAGAACATACAGTATATATAGTTTTCTGGCGCGTACAGCGCATGCTCCACAGTGGGGGCACGAGGCAAGCCACTGTAGACACGCCCTGCCAAGCACACGCAACTGCCTGTGGCACTGCGGCGCATCTAGCGTTTCGTTGGTGCGTAAAAGGGATGCTCGGCAACCGAGCTCAAGGCACACCACAAACGCAAAAGCTGTTGCCTCCGCGCGACGAAGCCAACGAAAAAGCTGTTGGTAGACGGCATCCTGCCAAGTACACGCAACTGCCTGTGGCAAAGATGCGCATAGAACACTACAAGCGCAAAAGGTGCTAGATACACGAAACTGCCTGTGGCATGCATATATAACAGTACATAATATGGCTTTATGGTGTGAGGTTCCAAGGGGACACTATGCACTGCCACCCAAATCATAGTCTTACGATATCTCCGATACGTTTCTTTGTCCGCCTTTCTGGAGCGCCACTCCCAAACAGCGCGCAAGGTTTGATGATGGAACGCCGGCTTTAGGGCGCCGTCAACAAACTGGGCGCCGCTCGCAGCCCAGACAGCCAGCACCCAAGGTTCCAGAGGGTTCAACGATGGAATTGCGGTTTTCCGAGATCCACAAAGAGTAAGAGACTGCGCACCACTCCTAGCCCATGCAGCACCCCGCCTTGCAGACCGCACCCACGTTCCACGGCTCAGCTATCTTTGTAAGTGGCGCGGAATCAGCTGCTCGTTCCTCGACCTTTGAAGCTTTCCACGCCACGAGGTAAAAGTCGGCGCCCATAGGTTATGCAGTTACGCAGGTTTCGTGCGGGTTTCCTATCCCATGTCCACCGTGTGACTCTTCAAGTTCAACGCGAGACACAACTTTCAATCTTGGGGCGATCCTTTTCAGCGTACCGATTAGCTCAAGGCGTCTGATCCAAGCCGAAATGGCCACATGGCATGTTCACTGTACAAGACACCCTGGCGCAAAGAGCTCAGAATCACACCCGTCTTATCTTCAGGTGCGTTGGGGCTTCAGCAGTTTGTACGTTCTCACTCCTGCAACTCTATTCTGTGTGGGACATGGAAACCTTGTCTTTGCATCCGAATTTTAGCAAGTCATTGAAACATCTTTGTCACCTTTCTCGCAAGAGCTGTCTTCAACATCAACGAGACCTGCGCCGATGGTCTTCAGGAGGTAGTCAGGCTTCATGCTCTTTGTGAAAGGATCTGCAAGCTGCTGAGCCGTCTCAATCCACTTCAAGTGGTCACCGTATGGGCTGTACACTTGACGTCATCTCACCGTTCACAGCCCATACTCCTTGCTTGCCTCAACGGTGCAAGCTCAATTCCAAGTCTCTTGTCTTGGGCCTTCCTTGGCGCTTCAGCCAGTAAATGGTCTGATAGCGATGATCGGCCATCAGTTAGATACATGTGCGCCATCTTCCTTTGTGTCTCCTCATGCCAATTCTTCGTGTCAACAGGCTTACCTGTCAATTCGGCCATCTGGAGCGCATATGCCTCTGCTTGTAAAGTCGCACGACAAACGCGTTTCAACGTCGTCAATCCAAAGCTGATCAAGTGCGTCTTGCGTTGGCTTTTCTTGATGTCTTTTGCGCTTGTCAAGTAGTGGATTCTTCCCTGTTGACTTTTGTAGCCTTCTTCGTTTGCAAAACTGGCGTCACTGAAAGTTACAACTGCTAGATCGCCCCAATCGATCCAATGGCTCTTGAATGTGATCTGTAGGTCACTTCCAGTTCAACAACTTTGGTTGCCATTTTCAAACCTTGCACTGTTGCTTTTGAGCTGCAAGCCCTTTGCATTTCATTTACACGGTAACACAAATCAGGTCGGCCATTGCGGGCGACCCACGCAAGGCTTCCCACAACACTTCTCAAAGCTTGTGAGTTCCTTCTCGGTCAACTTGTCTGTCAGCTAGCGGTTCTTGCCAATCTCGATCGGCTTGACTGTCTTGCAGTTCTCGCTTGTGGAAATACTCACTTAGAAGTCTTCACACTGTCGTCCGCAGTAGCAGACTTGCCACTCTCAGTTTTCCCAATAGTGAACTTCTTCAAAAAAGTTCCCAATTGTGCTTTTGCCTTCATCGAGGTAGCAGTAACAGCAAATCGTCAGCATGAGCTGCGATCACGCCAATCAACTTTCCTTTGGGATTGCGCAAGTAGTACAAGGCTGGGGTGATCTTGCTACACTTCAGTCCTCCGCTCGTGATCTCTCCGTTCATTCGTAGGTAGTTCCATAGATTGGCAATCGCGCAATCGATGCTGCATCTAGTGGCACATCCTCACTTGGGATACCACCCCTCGGTTGCCTCATGAGCAAACGTCGGCTCATGGGGTTTGACTGAAAGCGCGCACTACTCACGTCAGCACAGTGAAGCGTCTGCGCGACGCCGCGAAGGATGCCAACAAGCAATGTGTCTCACCTTCTGCAGTCACATCGTACTTCGCCCTTCGCGTCGCGCTCGTAGTTGCCACGCGCGATGTTCTGGCACATACTTCTCTGTGTTCAAAAGGTGCGCATTCTTGACCACATCAACCCATTGTGATGGTATAAGTTGATGTCCTTCGTCCAAGAGTCCAACAGTTGTTGAAGCTGTTCTCCATGCACTGGTATTGCAGCATTTTAATTGGAAATACTTCTTCCACTCTGCTCTTTGCGCATCGAAAATACGCTCCTGCACTTCTGGCGGGCATCTATCGAAGCTTAGTGTTCTTGACGCTTTCCCTTCCTGCGTTGCAGCTTCTTCACCAAAACGTTGCGCGACAGATGCAATGTAGCAATGTAGTCGTTCATCAATGCAGGATCAAAGGATTCATCTGCAGCAACCATGGCGGCCAGCGGGTCTGTTACCCGGCAGAAAACCGTGAAACCTGTCCACGCTTGCCAGTCAACATTGTTCACTCCTAACATTGATTCGCTTGCCTTTTTGCTTCATCTTCATAGATCTTCCTGGTCGCGCGCCTTCCTCCAAAACCTTCGGGGACATCTCCGTCTTGCAGCGGATGGTCTTCGTGGTACCTTTTCTTGTTGCGTGCCCGAATTGCATGGTTCTGTGACTGATATCTTCCAATGGTCTTCGCCGTCCATTGTTGCCATCTTGACTTCATCTTCTCCTTCAAGTGCGCCAGGATAGGCGCAGCGCTTGCGGATGATCGGGCAGCCTTGCCCGTCTTATCTGCTTGATCGTCCATCATGCATCTCTGCTGCCCCATCGTGACTGTTTCTGGGAGCGCTGGGATGTTGTTGAGAATTGAGTAGGCCAAAGATTCGCACTCGTTGGCTGATCTGATTTCGCAGCAATGCACAATGCACAAAACAGGTACTCCTTCGCGCAACAACCAAATGCCATGGTGTGGATCAATACCAATCACTGACTC